GGCTTCTCTGGGGGTGGTGGGCCCTCCTCTCCACCCCTCTCCAGCAGGAGCCTTTCCTTCCTACCCCGTCTGCCAGGTGCCTTTCCTCCGCCCCACTCCAGCGCTGTGGTCAAGCACCAGGCAGGGAGGTGTTTGAGGCAGGGAAACCACTTACCATCTTTCCAGCCACCAGGCTGAGCAAGACCCAGCAGGCCACTTTCTGGCTGGTGTGACTGCCCTCCTCTCCCCGACTGGTCACTCTGCAATGTAGCTCTTTCCTGGGCTCACTGGTCCCCCCTTCCCCATGGTCATTCTGCAATATAGTGTCCCCTTGGACAGCCCTTTTCCCTTCCCATTCCAAGCACTTCCTGTCTTCATGGTACAATCAAATCCTGACCTTGCTTTAAGTCAAGTTAAGAGGAAGCTGCATACCAAATTTGGTGGCCCTAGTTCTTAACGTTTCGGAGGCGTTTCGGAGTCTTGAACAAATGGTCTCGCAAATAGATGGACAGACAGACAGATGCACATTTCTAAAATATATAGATAGCATTTTTGTGTCCTTAAAAAATCCACATCAAAGACTTAATTCTATAAATACTTGTACATGTGAGTAATTTCTCTCAATTTCACTATAGCCCCTTATATGCTTGTTTGCATGATAAGGGTCCTGGGTTTGGTTTTGTTATTCTGGTCACAATTATCACCTGCTCCACACAGTTGCTCTAGAGCACAGAAGATCACAGGATTCATGGGGACAGGTGGTAAGGACTGAGTTGAGGCTTACATGTTCAGAAGGACTCATGCAATCCTGCATCTGGCCTGCACTGCTGTCCACTATCACTGTGAACCAGGTGACAGGTTGCCACTGTGGTAACCGCACTTTTAGTGTCCGGTCAGCACATCTGACCAGACACTGCCAGGTTCCTTTTTCAACCAGACTTTCACATAAAAAGAACATGTACCTAGCAATCTTGAGCTTTAACACTTTACCTGTTCTTCCTTGAAGAACATGGCTGCCCATATATGGAAACTCTGGTAAGCTGACTCATAGCAGCCACCTAGAAAGACAGAAATGGGTCCAAAGAAAGCATTAATTGACCCTAAGCAATACCAGACAGACAATCATGCATGCCTGTTCTCTCAAAGATACCAGGACAAGCCTAATGTTGAATAAATCAGTCACTAAGGGCCATAGCAGTACAGATCAGGGTTTTAGCCAGCTACAGCTACAGTAGAGGCAACAAGCACCCCACAACTCTCCAGTCATTTATATACATTATAGCTGTGACAGACCCAGTCTAGCTGGCTGCCGCACACTGATGGAGGGAAGACATGCTGGGGCTTGGGTGAATTGCTTTCTTTTCCGTAAGTAAAGGAAAGTCCAAAACCTAACTGCAGCATAATTAGGCAGGCACTTGGGGTCAATTAGAGCTTACTAGAAGCTACAGGCTGATTAGACATCTGCAGCCAATTAAGGCCTGTGATGCCACTTTAAAAGGGCTCCCCCAAGCAAGGAAGGGGGAAGGAAAAGAGCGAAGGACATAAAGGAAGAAGTGCTGTGTAAGCGGAGGACTGATAAGCAAGTACCAAAGGAAAGGTGCTGGCTGTGATTGTTTGGGAAAGCGGCACTGGGAAAAGCTGCCATATTGTAATTTGCAGGGCCAGAACCCAGAGTAGTAAGTGGGCTCAGGTTCCCCACAACGTCCCCACAACATCTCAACCTCTGCCTTGAGAGGGTTCCCCACAACGTCCCCACAACTTCTCAACCTCTGCCTTGAGAAGGGAAATCAGGACTTCAGAGGCGATTTTACCTCAAACATATGAACTAGCCTGTGATGAGTATGGCTCAGTAGGTTGTGGCTCCTGCCTTTAGTTAAGAAAAAGAGGCCATATGATATGCCATAGCAAACCATTGAGGTTAACACTGTCCGCCAGTAGTGCAAGACCGACGAGGAATAGCTGGAGCTATGACACATAGCCTTGGTGACTAACCTTCCTTTATTCTA